CCGCTCCGGTCAGGTTAACTTTCCCCCCTCCCTCCAATCTCTTCCGTCCAAGACGGCCAATGTGGAAAAAAAAAACAAACAAACCCCAAAACCAACTCCAGAAATCCTCCCTCATTTTTGCGACGAAAACCAATCCGGGAGAAAGAAAGAGACCCGTCGTCTTCTCCTGCTCGAGTCAGCCACACAGGAAATGTTATGCCTACTCAGGCCACCATTATAGCGACGTGATGACGTAGTGATCAGGCCTTCCAAATATAGGAGGCAGTGCCCCTGTCCTGTCTATGGCACTGTTCAGGACCTTTTTCCAGGGCCCTGTTGTCCTGGATATTACTTGGGCACTGGAATTTCTTAGGGTAATGATTTCATAAGGCATGGGTTTTGGTTTTATCTGCTATTGCTATTTATTTTTTTATTTTTATCGTTTGTTTATTTTATGTTGTGAGCCGCCCTGAGCCCATTTTGGGGGTAGGGCGGGGTATAAATGTAATAAATAAATGATACAATAAGAAATAATACAAATAAATAAATTGTTATATTATTTTTACCAAAAAATTCCAAAAACTTCTATAATTGGGATTCAGCTAAGGAGAATATAACACACATTTTACAAGAAGGTGTTATGAGGAGAATTTGCTTGAGGTCTCAATCTTGTATCTATATTGTTGGGAACCTTATAGAAACCTTTGGGATTTACAGTGAAAGAAACATGCATAGAATTAGATGGTGAAGTAATTCTCACCACATTTTCAAATTTCATTGTGGCTGTTTTTTTGTTTAAATACAGTAACTGGCAAATGTTAACAACCTTCAGTTTTATAATTTCACAAGAATAGTATGAGGCTGTGGTCACATGGAAAGCTTATTCTTATTTGTTCCCACTATAGATTTAATCGGGAATATTTTTTTCAGGTTGGGATGATCACACATCCTTCCCCGAACTGCAAGCATTGCACGACAAAGCTCTGGGCACCATCTAGATAGCTACACCGCCACTTGGGCGGCACAGGGTGAGGGTTTTTTTAAAATAGCTTTACACATGTACATATGCACATGGCCAAATCAACGCCCCCACTTGGACTCCCTTTTTTTTACAGGTCCGTCCTCCCCCAAACAGCGAACAAAATGAACCAGCAATGTACTACCAAGCACTGGAGTCTATATGTGCGCTTGAACGTTTAAACATTGAATTTATTCAGCACAGGTTTGCTCATGCACACAAAGGTGGAAGCTGGGGGGGAGGAACCCTCATCACACGAAGGATGACCTAATCGCAATAATTCCAAGAGATAGTTGTCCAGATCGGCGAAATCGTGGATTCAAAGCGCAAATGCCCGGAAAGTACTTGATTTCCCCAGTGTCTGAAAACTCACTAGGGAACCGGAAGAATCGCGTGAGTGAGTCCACTTTAGTGTGGGAGACGGATTCGGGCGTCTGATCAGCAATTTTAAATGCGAGAGGGAACAGCGGTGAAACCCGATCAAAATGACCGTGTGACCACAATCTTAGTAAAGGTTTTTGTATAGTAGGACAGCTAAAGCCTTTTTCTACACTGAAAACATACAAGGCACTTTACAGTAACTTTTTCTTCCTTCATAAAATGGTTCTTTATTCATAAACTTTAGTTTACTGGGTTTAAGTCCAGCATCTTCACTATCATCTGTGGTACCTCTGGAACAGTGCTTTTCTTACAGCCAGGAGAAAGAGAAATGGTGGGTTTGAATTGAATACTGCAGATGTAACATGCACCATTCCTGACAATTTTTAAAGTTCCACCCACAAACAGAAGTCTGGATTTATTTGCTACACAGAGGTCAGTGTGATATAGTGACTGATTAGAGTGTCAGACTGCAACTGAAGAGACCTGGGCTCAAGTCAGTGCTTGCTATGAAATACTTCGGGTATCCTTGGACCAGTCCTTCTCTGTCAGCCTAACATATGGCTGTTGTAGGGATAAAATGGAAGGGGGGCACTTCTGCTGTTCTGAACTCCTTGGGAAAAGGGCAGAACAAAATATAATACAGATGTCTCAGTCATGTAATTCTACAGAACTAACCATAGTCCCATAGAAATATGTGAAGGCAGAGTCAGATCCTAAGAATTTTATGGCTCCTTAGCAGCACTGAACTCTTAATCTGAAACAAATACTTGACAGCAGACTCCTCAGCAAACTAAGCGGCCCCCTGTCTGACAAGCACATGAGTAGTAAAAATATTGCTTAGGGTCACACTCTGTACTTTGCTTCATAGATTTAATGAACGGAATGCATGATGTGCTTACTAAGCTAGGCTGGATAAACATGGAAAAAATCTAGTGGAGCTGTGTCACAGACCACAATGGTTTCATTGGCTATGTGAAGGGAAGAAGAGATTCCTTTGCCATGTATCACTTGCTTTTTATATATCACTGCTGGCTAATATTTCACAGCCATTAATTCTTCACTGATGTCCGCATACAGGAATGATTAAAACAATTAGGTGAGATCTACACATTCCTATGTGGTGTCACAAAATTTTCCAAAAGCAGTATTACTGCTTGTGTCTGTGCGTGTGTTGTTGTTTAAACCACGTTTAGAAAACTATGAGGTATCTTTTATTTTTGTTACAGCCAAATCAATTTCACCTTACCATTTTGAAACTCAGGGCTCCATTATGAAGTTAATGTAAACTAGAATTGCCAACCTCCAGGTGGGGCCTGGTAATCTCCTAGAATTACAACTGATCTCCAGGCAACACAGTCCAGTTCATCCGGAGGAAATGACTGCTTCAGAGGGTGGACTCTATAGCATTATACTCCACTGAGGTCTTTCTCCTAACCAAACCCTGTCCTTGCCAGGCTCTAGCCCCCAAATCTCCTGGAATTCCCCAACCCATAAGTGGCAACCCTAATGTAAGCACAGAATGGCATCTCAGGGGAAAAAGGGAAAGTGTTCTGATTTGTTCCTATCAAGGACGGCACTAGGCAAGATTTAAAACACTCCCAAAACAGTATTATTGCAGTGTAATCTTAAACATATTCTCAGAAGTAAATTCTATTTAGTTCAGTAGGACTTCTAGTGTGTATGCTTTAACTTCTTTTCTACTGGGCTGACCTTCTTCTTCTTTCCTTGTTGATTTTCTCTTCCCACTTCTCCTTGAGCAATTTAGGAAGTCTAGTAGTGTATAGATTTACATATAGATCTCAACACTTACAGCTGCCTTAGGCTATTGGTTTGTTTAGTTCAGCATTGTCTACCCTATCTGACAGGGACCTTCCAACTCTTCAGGTAGTCCCACTCAAGTTCTGTCCCAGATCATACCTCCAAACTTATTTTAGAGACAGCTTCCTTCCTATCATAACTCTAGAGAAGGCATGGGCAACTGGGTAGCAGGGTCCAGCTATGGATCCTCAGTCTCTTTTCTATGCCATCAACACAAATGGGAGAAGGTTCATATGTGCAAATAGAACCCCAGTTCTGGGTCCCTCAAAGCACTGCTGGTATGACTTCCAGATCTTTACATGAAACCATTCACTAAGTGCTCCTCAGTGTACATCCTGCACATGCCAAATTTGAGATTATTCAGATTAGTACTCTAAAGACTGCACAAACATTGTGAAAGCTTTAGAAGTTATTTGGAATTATATTCATATTGAGTGGCATATATCTTTGAGCCTTGCACAACATATTTATGAGCTTTCCAGATGAATTTAATGGAATTTTGTTTTGCCAGGGATCTGGCATTTAAAGTGTTATTGTTATTGTCTTGTATTTTTGCTGTCAGATGTGCTGTGTTCTGTGCTTTTGTTTTATTTACTTAGAAAATTCATATCGGGCCATTCCAGCAATCTGCTTGAGGCAGCCTGCAAAGTAAATCATGATAAAAATCATTAAATAGTATAAAATTGTTAAAATTAAGAAACTATTAAAAACCAAATAGCCATTCATTAAAAAGGCAGCCAGAGCATAAAATCCAGTATAAAGTTTGTAGCATCTTAAAATTATCATCCTAAAACAGCCTTTGGGCTAGAAGCAGAATGTAAAAACAGTTTTAAGAGATCAAAGCCCTAGTTAAAAGTCTGGGTAAAAATAAATGTTTTCACTTTGTGCCTAAGTAGGATTGCCAATCTCCAGGTGTTGGCTGGAGATCTCCCACTATTACAGCTGATCTCCAGGCAACAGAGATCTGATCACCTGCAGAAAATGGCCACCTTGGGAGGTGGAGTCTATGGCAATATACACCACTGAAGTCCATCCTCACTCCAAACCCCGCCCTCCTCAGGCTCCACCCCCAAAATCTCCAGGTATTTCCCAGCCTTCCTGGAGCTGGCAACCCTATGCCTTAAAGACCGTAAGCTAGGTCCCAGGAGAGCCTCAAGGTGACAGGTATGCCACAGGTGAGGTACCACCACTGAAAAGCCTGTCTCTGGTTGCTACCTGCCTGACCTCTGCAGGTGGGGGCACAGACAATGGGACTGCTGAAGAGGATCTTACATAGCAGACTGGACAGTTTTGCTGTTTTTTAACTGCTGTTTTTAAAAATGTCTATTTTAGAAGTTTTTATATTATTTCTTGCTTTTGTATTCCAGCTTGAATCCAGCTTGAAATAAACACAAGAGCATTCTAGTTCTGAATTTTTGTAATAAAGATCCACATGTTTTCTGAACATGGGCTCAGTGGTCGTCCCTGTTGTTCCCTTATTGAAAGCTTGCTGTTCCTTTTGAATCTTCTCCTGACTTTCTGTTTCATCTTTGCACTATTACATATTTGTGGCCTTTCTACATCTCCACTGTTCTCCTTTTGTCCAAGAGTCTGTTCCTGATTCTACACAGAGTTTTGTCACTGTCACACAACTCTGGACCCCCTGGTAATCTCAGGGCAAGTTAAGACTAGTGCTTGAGCTGTATATGCTGAAGAAGCAGTTCCAGTCCAGGAAGGGGGTCTTGCTTAATGGCAACATTAATATCCTTAAGGAGCAATAATCTTGCCGCTAGATTCTGGTAAATTATGAAGCAATGTGATGGGATGTGCAGAATGCACACTATTACCTAGCCCACAGCCTTTCATTGGCCCTAATAACAGGTTTGTTGCTAAACCTATATAATTTGATTTTTAACAACATACCAAAAGGCAACTCAGCACTTAATGCAGCAATTCTACATAGTTTGTGGGACAAATACATTTTGGCTGTACTCTGCATTATAATAATTAGTACAAACACAGTTTGGTCAAGAGAATATAACAGTGCTGCTGCCAAGAGTTTCTAAGCCAGTAAAGCGAAGCTGAAGCTAAGCAAGAAAATCCTCTGGTTGACAAGATCCACTGAAGTCAGGAGGAGCCGAACACACAGAACCGCCTCAGGCACAAAAGGAGATCCACTATGCAGACACTTTGGCCGAGTTCAAACTGGCAGTTTGAAGCAGGAGAGAGTCGTGGCAAAAAAGACCGGGAACAAACTGTTCCGGGTTTTCCCGGTCACACTACACCGACTGATGTGGGAGCATACTGGGGAGGAGGCACAAGGGAGCGTTCACACTGTTGGCCCACCCCTGGCGGAGGCACAGCTGTAAGGTGCGGCTTTCTTTTTGGTAATCTGGAGATATGTGCTTATGCGCATAAGTGCACAAGCACACAAGAAAAACGCAGCTTTTGGCGTTCACACTTTGTTGATGGACACGGGATTGTTGGACTATTTTGCGGATGCATATATGGAATTGTATTTCTGAAAGAGTTTACTCCAGAGTCATTGTTTTGGAGGAGTAGCATTCACCTGCAGAAAAAACGAATGAGGATTTGCTCACTACTCCAGAGTTATTATCCTCTGTTCAAGTTTATACTGTTACAGTTTGTAATACTCAGTGAACAGTCTCTTGTTTACCTAATTTGCAATTGGATTATTTAGATATATATAAAAAATCTAAAGGATGGTATTTTAACTGTTTTGATGTTTATTCACAGTTGTTGTTGTTGCTGTGGTTAAATGGCTAAGGGTAAACAAATTGAAATTGTATCCTGGCAAGACAGGGGTAATGCTGCTTTAGAAGGCTGAGGACTTAAGAACATACAAATAGCCCTGCTAGATCAGACTTGTGGTCTATGTAGTCCAACATCCTGCCTCACTCAGTGGCCAACCAGTTACTGTATCTTCTAGGAATCTGTCTACTCCCCTTTTAAAGCTATCTATGATAAGCAAATTTCATATTTCAATCACTCATTGAGTAAAGAAGTGTTTTCTTTTGTCCATCCTGAATCTGTTGATGTTGTTCAGTCACACAGTTGAGTCCGACTCTCCATGACCCCATGGACCACATCATGCCAGGCCCTCCTGTCTTCTACTGTTGATCAACTTCATTGGATGCCCTCAAGTTCTAATATTTTGGGAGTTCTAGTATTTTGAGAGAGGTTCTGCCAAGTACCAGGGAGGAAGCTGTCTAGCTTGTATCCAAGCATTCTCTGTGGAGGCTCCCACCTTGTGGAACGGCCTGCCTGAGAACATCAGGAAGGTTCCAATATTTCTCTCATTCCACAGGATTAGTAAAACAGAAATGTCCAGAACTGCATTTATATAATGGACATTGGGTGGTAGTATAATTAACAGTTTGGGAAGGTACTTTTATAAAGGGAGCAGGATTGTAACCTATTGCACAGTTTATTATAATATAATCTTGCTCTTACTATATTGTCTTAAACTTTTGTAATCCATTCTCTACGTTGTTTATAGTATTGTATACTGGCTTTTGTTTGCATTTTTCCTAATTTTGTAATCCTAGTCCTGTTTCATTGTTTGCTGGACATTTTATGCTGTCTGATAGTATTGTTTTATATTTCATAATCCACTTTGAGCCTTGGTGAGACAGGCTATAAATAAAGTAAACAAACAAAGGTCTATGTGGAAGCAGACTCATCCCATTGAACTCAGTGGAAACTGGGCAGAAAATTACACAACCCTCAGTTTTCACTACCAGGATTGAACTTGATCACAAAAAGTACAAGCTATATTTCTTGGTTCCCTGGATCTGTAACAAGAATTTTATCTGAAGAAGTGTGTTTGCACATGAAAGCTTATAGCTTGAATAAAATTTTGTTAGTCTTAAAGGTGCTGCTGGACTCAAGAATCGTTCTGGTTCAGTCTCTACCAATAAGGATTTCAGTCAGCACATATTTAACTACTTAACCTCAAACAGGGTCAGAGCTGGAGAAATAGGCCCCTTTATTTACACTGAGAGACAAGGCAGACTCTTATTTCAGATGCCTGGGGTATTATTATAATGTCATTTGCTCTGATTAATTGCTGCAAGGAGCCTAGGTGCTAAGCCAACAACACTGACTGATAAAATCTTAGGATATATAAACAGCTAGTGAAGTGCCTTGAATTGTAGGACTGTATTCTGCTTTCAAGGCAGGATGATTAACATTTTGTTTATTTAACTGACTGTTATGTTTTGTGTTGTTTTGTTAGCCACTTTGAGTCTAAGGAGAAAAGGTGGGACATAAATATTTTAAATTCTCAGTAATATGATCTGTATTTTTAAAAACCTTGTTGTCTTTGCAAAAAGCAGAGAGAGGAAGCAAAACTGTAACAAAGTCATGTATTAGTAAGAAGAGGTGATCTAGAAAAAAACCCAATGTTGATGCACCTATTTTCTTTTCAGAAAAGAAATATAACAAAATAATATATAAATGACCAGATCCCATGAGATGCCAAGCGTTTTCTATTGGGCAGCAGCTTCAGTGAAAAGAAACCCCCACACCTCTACAGTACACAAATCATTAGATCTTACTGTTTTCCACTGGAGAGCTGGCATAGTACAACAGCCAAGTGGTGAACCAGGAGATCCCTGGCTCAGATCTTGTCTGTCATTAATGCCACTAGAAGGGCAAGTCACTATGGCTTAGGTTTGCCAAGTCTGCCATATCCCAAACTCTGAAAACTGGTTTGCCAATTTCCTGGTGCAGCCAGATCTTCTGGAATTAACTAATCTCCAGACTACAGAGATCAATTCCCCTAGAGAAACATAGCTTCTTTGGAGGGTAGATTCTACGGCATTATACCCTGTTGAGGTCCCTCGTCCCCAAGCCTCATTCTTCCAGGCTCCACACCCCCAAATCTCCAGGATTTTTCCAACCTGGAGTTGGCAACCCTATCTGAAAATCATGGGAGTGCTGATGATAACAGAGGGTCAAGGCCAGTGATGTCACATTAAATTGTGGTTCTACTGGTAGTGCATTCACGTACCATTACAAATTGTCCCACATGATATCTGTGAATATGTGTAGACCCATTCATGGATCTGAAAAAAGACCATCCAGCACACAGAAATGTTTAAAAAATATATATGGAAATAACTATACCCTAAACATACAATGTAATTGATGCTGCCAGATTATTGCCTCGCATTTCCAGTTTTACAACAGCTAGAGTTCTGCCCCAATTATCACAAGCAAGTATGTATATAACTCTCAAAAGAAGCTGTCATGTATGTGGGCTAGCTGATGGCCCTGAGATTTCATCTAGGCACAAGGAGGCCATACAACAGTCCCAAAACCTTAGAGCCGAAGCTTTGGACCTGGCTCTATCTACATTACAGACTTTTATCCAACTTTTGCTGTCATTACTTCGTAGGGCTGTGAACCTCTAGGTGGGGCCTGGGTTCTGTCAGAAATTACAACTGATCTCCGAACTAGAGAGATCAGTTCCCAAGGAGAAAATGGCTGCTACAGAGGGTAGATTCTAGACATTATACCCTCTCAAGGCTTATCCTTTCCCCAAATATCACCTCCAAATCTCCAGGAATTTTCCAACCTGGAGTTAGTAACCCTATTGCATCCTCTAAGAATCCTGATCATTTGGCAAGATGCTGTA